AAAAGAGTCTAGAAAAATCTAGAAATATAAATTATTTGAGCAATTAAAAGCTATTATGATATACTTGTAATATTCTAAAAGAAGAGAAGAAACAAATGTCCCTCCATAACATCAATGTCTTAAAATAATATTTACGAAGATCAATAAGAAAAAAAGAGGATTTGAGCTGGACTAGTCCCTTTTACAGGTTTTAAGTGGGGAAAGAGCAAAGTGTGTGTGTACATGTGTGTGACTGTGTTGCGTGTGTGTGTGTGAATGAGTTAAGTGTATAAAGAATACACTAATGTAAAAAGGAAAAATGCGATACAACTTGCTATTTCTCATAATTGAGTTACATGAAGAGAAAAGCATACAAATATGGAAGAGAAGGTGCGGGGAGAGTTGACATAAAACTCATTCTTTTCTGAAACAAAGGAAGAGCTGAACAGCCACACAGTTTGTTGTAGAAATACAAATACGTCATATTGCACAGGAAAACAAATAAGAAAGGGAGGAGATAGAGGGGAAGGAGTTAGAGGGAGGATAATACCAAGAAGAAAACAAGAAGGGAATTTAAGAGAACTTGATCCTGAAGAGGAGAGTAGAAGCGAAAAAAATTAATAAAAGAGCTAAAATCTAAGGGATGCCTTAGATTTCCTTAGACAATCAGGAAATTGTAAAACATACTGTGGCATATAAAGGTAATGTAATAGTACACCATAAGAAGTGACAAAAGAAAATCTCAGAGAATCCACAGTAATCTATGAAATGATGTAAAGTTGAGTAGAACAAAGAAAACAATTTATACAAGGACAGCAACACTGTAAAGGAAAACAACTTTGAAAGGCTTCATAACATCAATCAATACAATGACCAGCTATATCTCCAAAACACCTATGATGGAGTCAAGGTCTCTGTCTTCCTAACAGAGAGATGATAGACATAGAAGAGCAGAAAGTGCATAAAGATATAAAGTTCTGGACATGGCCACCATGTACAATTCATTTTTTTTGGCTATACTTATTATTCACAACTTTTTTTTGTTTTTCATTCTTTAAGTTTTTAATAAATGTATACTGAATGAGCAAATGACAAAAGATACATGTCAGTAACTTAATACTTAAGTATACAGCAACAATTTATTAAACAAAACTGGTATTTTCTGTTAAAAGTTAAAATCCCTTTAAATAAAATAGAACTACTCTGTGTGTGTGTGTGTGTGTGTGTGTGTGTGTGTGTGTGTGTGTGTGTATGTCTGTATCTATATATGCTAGAGCATAAGCCTGGAAAACTAAGATATAAGACCCTACTTTATCTTCTGAAAATATAAATACTATTTTACATACACAAAAATTAAAGGGTGGGAGAAAATAAGGACAATTACAACTATTCAAGCTTGTGATAGTTCAAATATCCTTTGTCACAAGCTTTTTTGTTCTAATGATAGGATATCTATCTGATCAATGTGGGGTGGGGCAGGAGACTTGTTGGCAAACTTTAAGGAGTGGCATTTTATTAGATTATTTCTAACTACAGGCAGATGTCAGAATTCCCACTGTAACTTAGCAGGTGTTTTTCTGCAGCTGGTGCCCTTTCATGGTTAGCTGTTTGCAAGTGTTCCCATTAGAATTTAAATGCTTCAATTCTGATGTGGTTTAGCTCATACAGACAAATAATTACTATTAATAAAAACAAGTACATATAGGATTTTCTCTCAAATGAGATTTGTTCAGTTTAACCTATTTCTACTGAGTACTCTCTACATAGAAACTATGGTTCATATTATAATCAATTGTTAACTAGCCTCAAATAACAATTTTTCATTACTACTTGTGAATTTATCACTATAAACTAACTCAAAAGAACATAGGACAAGTAAATCTACCATATGACAATTCACAGATAAGGAAAGAGATAAGATCTGTAATTTACTTAAGATGATAATCTCCCAGATGAGGAAACTCCCTCTAGCAAAGTTGCTTAAAGAGGGTAAATGACTTGTCTAGGGTCACATAGCCTGTGTCAGAGACAGGACAATTATCATACTAGGAAAAAAACAAAATACTTTAGCCCATCTAGCCATAAGACTTCAATATTTTTTAATGTAAGTTGGACAATTTTAAAGGTATACATTTGGTTTTTGTTTTTACATCATTGACAACAATCAATACATGCTTCTCTTCTGCCCCTCTCAGAGAACCATAGCTTATAAAAAATTTAAAAGGGGGAAAAACAATTCTGTAAAATTAAACAAGTTATCAAGCAGATCCAACACTATATATAGTATCCCATACTGATAGTTGCATCCATCGTTCTATAACCCTCCTCATCCACAACCCTGCTAGATTACTGCCTGCAAGGAGGAGAGAGAAGTTCATTCTCTTATCTCTTCTTTGGGGACAAACTTGGTCAGTCTAATTTCACAGCATCTAGTTTCAATTGTTTTATAGTTAGCTGTTCTTTCCATTTCCATTTTATACTGTTTGCCTCTTTCTTCCTACTTCAACCTGTCAGTTTGTATAAGTCTTCCCATATTTCTCTGTACTCATCACATTTATCATTTCTTATAACATAGTAATATTCCTCTATACTCATATACCACATCATGTTTAACCATTCCCCAATTGATAGGCATCTACTTTGTTTTAAGTTGTCTGCTAATACAAAACAGTGCATAGAAGGCATAGGATAGAGAATTGGCTCCAAAACCATGAAGACACGGGTTCAATTGCTACCCCAGCCAGATTCTCTTAGACAAGTAACCTTTCAGTGCTTTAGGCAACTCTCTAAGACAGTAAGTTACAAAGAAGGTGCTCACCTACAATAACAAAGAGTTTTCTTCCCTAGAGTTCCCAATACCAAATGACAGTCTCTCTCCTATAGGAATCTGTTTTTACTACTAACTTCTTTGGGTTATATGTCCAAAATGGACAGAAAGGGCATTTTCATTTTAGCCATTTTTTAAAAAAGTCAATTATATTCTAATTATTTAACTAACACTCCAGGTATGTTCTACTGCACAAAATCCTAGTGAAATACTATCTGATACCTTTAACAACAATAATATAGGTTCTTAAGTAACTAAGAACTGTATTTTATATATAATTATTAGTTATGCTCTTGATTGATGAAATATTTTAAAATGAAATTATTACTATATGTGGTCAGACTAATTTGGATTATAATTTGTCATTGACTTTTTAAAGTCTATGCTATTTTATATTTTAAAAATTAAACAAATCTGCATAATTTATTTATTTAGATATTTTGTGCAGGTAAGAGAATGACAGGTACTTTACTCCTTCCAAGGTTTTAAAGAAAAATCAGTGAAAGCAATTTAGAAGGTAGCAGTACGCTGGAGCCAAGATTAATTGTTCACACAAATGCCAGCCAAGTAACAGAAAATGGCATTCTTGTGAGGATTGACAGACTAGAAAGTAGCTGCTTTGCTCTATTTTTACTGCCATGATTTGAAATGCAGCTGTTTATCACAAAGGAAGGCAAAGCCTTTCCCTCTAAAGGATGATCACAACAATGTATGCAAAACACATTAAACAGTAATATTCTGAGAGCCAAAATGAGTTCACCTGCATAGTACTTTGGACGATTTTCTTAAGAATGTGCTTACTGTAACCATCCAATAGAAGGTCAACTTGATGATATTACTTTTTGAGGAAAGAAATTAAGTTCATTAAAAATGTAAGACTTAGATGTACATTACAAAAATTTATGATGTGTTTTATTATAATTTTAAAGTTTTGGAAATTAACTGTTCTTTGTAATTGTTTCTATATATAAAATGCTTATGACAAATTAATATATACATACCCTCAAAACAATTACCCTTACACCCCAATATCATTTATCCCAAGATCATAGCTCTACTGCTGGAACAAAATTTAAAGGTCATTTAGATCAACCTTCTCATTTAAGGAAACTGAGATCCAACTGTCACACAGATAAATGGCAGGGCTGGGATTTAACTCCAAGTGCCATGGCTCCAAGCTGAACATTGCAAATGCACTGCTGATTGAACTTTCAGTATATGAAAACCCCAGTTCCTTTCAGAAAAACTAATGCTTCTTCTATCTTATACTTCATAAGTTAATCTGTTGGACACCAAATATTTATCTATATTGTATTTCACCAGATTCAGTCCAATTCTAGCCTATCAAAGTCCTTTTAGATCCTGACTCGGTTATCCATTGTGTAGCTCTTCCTCTTAGCTTTGTGACATCTATAAATTTAATGAGCATGCCATACATAACTTTGTGCAAGCCACTGATAGAAATATTAAGCAGCACAAGCTCAAACACATATCCCCTGGAGTATTCAACTACAGACTTACTGCCAAACTAACATTTAACCATCACCAACTATTCTTTGGGACTGGCCTCCAAACCAGTTCTGAATCCATCCAACTTACAATTGGTTAATCCATACTTCATAATCTCCTTCACAAGAAGCTACTTTTATCAAAAGCTTTGCAAAAAATTAATGTTAACTACACGCACAGTATTCCTCTCAACTACTAGTTTAGTAATTCTGACATAAAAGATTAATCTGATATGACCTGTTCTTGATGAAGCTATACTGACTCTGTGTAATCATCACTTTCTTTTCTAGATGTTCACGAACCATACCTTAAATGATCCTTTCTAGAATTTTCCCATGGATCAAATAAAGCTCACTAGCTTTCAGTCTGCATCCCGTGTTCTTTGATTCCTAATATAACATGGTTTTCAGTTACCTCACTCCTCCAGTAACATTCCTAAAATGGGAGGCTCATAATCAAAGACAAGCATTCTACATGTGGTCCAATCAGACTAAAGTACAATAGTGCCATTACGTCCCATAGTCTAAAGACAGCTCACTCACTCTTATTGATGCATAAAATGTATACATATACAGCTCTGTAGAGGCCTAAGAGGAAAATGTTTTAAATCATTTACAACACATATCAATTTATTAACAAAAGGTTCTAGTGAATACGAATTATCCTATAAAAATGTTTCTCTTACCTCATCCAAGTCTTTAATAAAAACCGGTTTTTCCTCAAAGCCTATTGGCATTGGTTCACTATGGGGAATTTTTACTTCTTCATACATCTTATTGTTTTCCCTCTGAATCCCTTCTGGTAAAAGCATCTATTAATATTTTTTTAAAAAAATTAAAATCAAATGGTTAAAATTAAAACATCTTAAGAACTGCTTTGGTTTATATTCTAGTCCTATGTATGACATAACAATGTCAAATAATATATCCAGTTAAAAACCAGAAAGAAAATTTAAATAAAAAAGACTATTTAAATCTCAGGAATCTATAACACATTGGACTAAAAAAGGTGGGGAAATATTTATGGTTAACTCTACACAATTCAGGGGTGGTTGGATATCAATTAGTAGTACAGTTGATGAGGAAAATGAGGGAAGAAGGGAAATAACAAAAGACACAATTTATCAGGAGTAAAACTTGTTCAAATTAAATCACAGTATATTATTCGAGTATATGGAGAACCCAAATTTCTTTTTATTATTGTATCACACAACACTTTCAAAAAATATATTAGTAGACAGAATTCCGGAGACTAAAAGTACTCAGTATATTTAAGGAGTAGGACACTTACCCAGAAAGCCTTCTAACATACAACAACTCTATGTGGGATAATGAGAAATTATTGCTGACTATCAAAATTAAACACAAACTTGGAAAATGACTGAATAAGTACAATTTACTATAATAGATTAATGAGCAAAAGTTACTGGGGTGGGGGAAGGGGCAGGGGAAACAGAGGGAGAATCAATATGTTCTTTATTAGGAAGAGATGCATTACTCAAAAAAAAGCCATATACCAAACACATACCTTTGCACCTCCAATGAATGCTGATGTTTTCATGGCTTCAGCTTGGGAATCATAAACATGTGGATAATGAATTTTTTCAATATCTATATCTCTCTGTCTGTTCAGAACTGGTACACTTCGAGCATTCTGAAGTGCTTGCTCTCTGTAAAGAAAAAAAAAATGAGGCCAGGTTGGTAATTATATACATTGCAACAAAATGAGCAACAAAATGACTGAGATAACTAAAATAATTACTTCAGGTATCTCTGTATTCCAAAAAAAAAAGAAATTAAACTACGTAGGTACCAATAAAGAGGATAAAATTATGAACAATCAAATATAACACAACAATACATTTAAACGCTCTTTTTAGATATCACCAATCTAATACATAAAAACAACGTTTTTATTTATAGTTTTGTTTTCCTCACTCTGAGGCATATAAAAATGTGAACGTGCTTTTTTTTATGAGTCTCTCTATTTTAAAAACCAAGAATTAAAATACGCTACAATTCCTAGGTACCGATGGATTATGTGTATTCTTTTTTTCTCTCCTCTACCATTACGTGACAACATGGGAAAGAGTATTCATTAATCTGGAGAAGAAAACAAAACTATTAATACATTTATTCCAGGCTTCATAAATCTCAAGTTAATGGTAGTTTGCCTCTAAAACCTCAATCTCTAGTCTATATGGATATAACCAAGACTGTAATTAAGCAAACCACTGCAGTCACATCCCAGAAAATTAAGTTTTCATGAAAAAAGAAAAATCCCATATATATGGAAAAAAAATGTGATGAAGTCAGAAATACTTAAAATATTAAAGGTAAGTAAAAGAAAAAAAAAACAGGCTAGCACACACATTCATCAGCTTTTGGCATTTATTACCTTTGCATCCTCAACTCCTTAGGATCAAAGCACATTTGTCCTTCTCCTGAAACTTCTCCATCTTCTCCTGCTCTTTTTTCTCTTCTGGCAATTCGTTTTTCTTCCCGACGATACTGTTTCATTAACTGCTTTTCTTGTTCAGACTGAATAGTGACTTGACAACCATAATTAGGTTTAGCATTTTCTCCCGAAAATTTTTTACAATTGTCTACAAAGCAAATTTATAAAAGCATGAAAGGTATTTTTGAAATGTGTGTCTAACACATGTAGTTACTTATTATTTATGAAAGAATTTCTTTTTCTTTCCACCCAAAAGAAAAGTAGAATAAAATGTGAAGAAATACATCACTTAAATTCAACATTAGGAATACAAATCTAACTGCTCATTTTCAAGGAGAGTTTTTCCATATTTACATAATGGAAGCTTACTTAATGGTCATCATATGCTGACTGCCTGTATAAAAAGAGGAGCTTTATAAAATGAATTATAAGAGTTTGATTTTTGACCCTTCAGAATTAAATATATTTGGGAGTCTCACTTTCAGAGATCAGGATTCTAAAACAAGTAGTCAATAAATTTACATTAAATTCCACTCAAAATATGTGCAATACATAAATATAACTTATTTAGTGTCAATAATTATATAATAATTTTGTTGGACTTATTAAATTTGGCCCCTCCCTCCACTAATATTTTATAGAATCACTGTGATTTTTGAATTCAAAAATTACTGTGAATAAGTGAAATAAACACAGACCAAAAATAGGGAAATCACATCTGATGATGAGTGCTCAATGTACAAGCAGCAAATACAAATAAGAGTACAAACAAATTAAGAGGCATTGTATTAGAAAGAGAGTTGTATTTGGAAGTCAATGGCTATGGGGTTCAAATACTTGCTCTACATTAACTTATGGGACCCTCAGCAAGTGACTTAATCTATTTGGGATTCAGTTTCCTCATTTGTAGAATAGGGATAATAACAGAACCTACCTCACAGGGCTAGTGAAGGGATCAAATGAGATTGTGTGTGTGTGTGTGTGTGTGTGTGTACACACAGAGTACTCTGCAAACCTTTAAGTGCTACAAAAATCTAAGCTATACTAAGTATTATAATAATAGCTGCTATTGTTACCTATGTGACCTATATAAGCAAGTCACTTAACATCTCTGAGTCTTAATTTCCTTTTCTGCAAAATGAGGGATTTTCAGCTTTTTGGGTCCCTTATGTCCCTTCCAGGTTTGAACTGTACTATCTGGAACAAATATGCCTTGCTACCTATTTTGCCTAATTATGTATAATAAGCAGTTTACTTTAATCCTAAAGGGGATGGAAAATAAAGGTTTTAAAAACAGAATAATCACGAAACTTTTAAATTATTAAATTTCTCATGCCATGAAGTGAGACTCAACAACCTGTCTCAGCAGGATTAACTTTACTTTAGGGTAATATGAAGTTAATAACGTTTTACTATGAAGGATGAGGTTATCTAAATTGCAGCATCAAATAAAGTAAAGGAGAAAAATTAAGCAGAACATCAGAATGTGGAGAATGGTTGCCTTTCTTATTTCCCTTGTCATTCAATCTCAATCTCAATCTCTCTCTCTCTCTCTCTCCACTTTCCATGCTCCAGGATTTACACCCTGAATACACTGTAATATGACCAAAGATAACAGAAGTGAATAAATGATAAATTACTACTTTATTTAAAGTTTTATTACATTAGAAAGTTCCTACTAACATTAAATATTTCATTTACATCTGAATGAACAGTGAAATGATCTTACCTTGAAGAACTTGCAACTTATGGTCATTTGAAGAGAGAAATCTATCCACAATTATAACTCTGTTTTGGAGGAGCTTCTCTATAAGTTCAAATCCCTCAGGTCCTAGCAGTTCAAACAGCTAAGAAGGAAACATACACACACATAAAGACTGCTATCACTGCAAGAAAATTTCAAGATAACAATACCATATGTCTCAGGAGATACTAGGTTTGACTAGTTCATCAATGCTCTGAAATTGTCATTCAGTAGATAAAAAACAGAAACTGTATGATTAAAATTATCAAATTACTCAAGAGTGACCTGCTTTAAGCAAAAGTAATATATAAAAATTTATTTGGTTAATTAAGTATTTTTCATTTTATAAAAACCTCAAGTTTCCCTCTCAAATTTGAATTCATGTACAGGCTTTAATTTACAAAAGAATCTGGCTTATACATAGCTTTTCAGGAACCTAACAATTACAGAAAGGGATAAAGTGAAAGGAAACCAATGTTCACATTCTGACTGCTATAGACTATGTCACTTTGGACAAACCATTTAACTTTCTGAAGGGGGGGGAATAAGAGGGTACCCTGTGTCATGATGTCAGTGGAGTCAAAATCAAGTGGAGCAGCTGATGGAAAATTCTGAGTCCTCTCTAAAGGGAGGCTTCCAGAGGAGTTTATTGTTCTTCCATCAGTGAGGTTTATTTGTCAAAATATTGTAATTCTGGGATATTTTGATAATTTGTGGGGAAAATGAAGCAGAATGTATGAAGCAGTGTTCTGAAAAATCCAGGCTGTCAAGCAGATAATTTTTCTTCATTGATTAATTCATCAAAATTTTATTAAAGTTTCTATTATATGTACTCATTTTTTGTCCTAAATCCACCTTGCTTCCAAACATCTTTTATTGCCAAGGGCACCACCATCCTTACAATGACCCAGGTTCAGAACCTTGTCATCTTCAATACCTCACTTTCTTACCCCACATCCATCAATTGCCAGATCTTGCCATTTCTGAGTCCACAGCATCTCTCACATACCTCTCCTTATCTCCACTCATGCAGACAATATCCTACACATTTCAGGTCCTCATTCTCTGTTTTTTAGATTGTTTCCACTGCTTCCTAATGTCTCCCTTCCTAAGGTTTTCCATCCCAATCTATCCTCAACACAGCTACCAAAGTGTTTTTTCTAAAGTGTAAATCTAACCATGTCAGTCCTTGGCACTGTCAACATCAGAAATTGATAATATTTTAGAACACTTCTCCATCCAACATACAACTGAAACCTTCCATGTGTTGTTTCATCCATTATAAAGTGCGGACTGTCTTACTTTTCTACTTGTATCTTCAGTGCACAATACAGATGCTTTGTACATTATAAGCACTTAATAAATGTGTGATTCATTTGCTCATTCAACATGAATTCCATTTGATCTAAGGAAGATCATCTAAAAGAAATATCCAGTAGCACCACTTTCTTTTCACTACTAAAATTCCACTTAAATGGATCATAATTCTAAAGAAATATAAATGGAATTTATTTTCTAAACAAAAACTAGTAGTTTTTAAATCAGTAGTATTTAAATCATCAGCAGCATGTTCTTCATGCCAATAAAAGTCAAACCTTATCAACGCATTATTTCACGGACAATCCAAACTTAACATGCTCAAAAGCCTTTCAATATTCTACCACACTTGGTTAAAGGAGAATACATCATAATCACAATTCACCTTCATGTGGTCCTCTGTGCTTGCCCAAATAAAGTGGGCTTTGGAAGTATCTATGATATGTAAGGTACTGCATTTGATTCAAAACAAACTGTTCCTACTATACAAACAATGCACTAAAGAAATACAGAGATGGTTTGTCAGAATGAAATACTTATTATGTGATATAACTTTAATACGGTATTCTGCTCAAAGTCTTGATTTATCTCAACTGCCCTTTCCTCACATTTATCTTCAGACTCTTCTTGTTTGACCAGATCAACTAAAAGTTGAACAATCCTATGTAAAACTTTATACTTTCACAGAAAAATAAGAGCTTCATCATATGCCTTCCATCTTAAAGACAATATTACACCTGTATAATGCTGCTCTAGCCATAGGCACTGCTTTTAAAGAAATTTCCCACTTACAGAACTAAAAATATGCCTATGAAATATTTTGCAAATGACATACTTAGCTCAGAGTTAAAGAACATACTGCATGTCAGCACAGAGTAATAACAAGAAATAATTTCACTCCAAAACCCATATTTGAAGAAATATAAAAATTAACAAGTGCTCCTGAAATCTGAACAGGGAAAGACACTGGAAATCCATATTTACCACAAACTCTAGAAGTATTATGTAATAATCAAAAGCATGGCAAAAATGCCAATATGACAAGTGAATTGGAAAAAGAGATGGGCACAATTAGAATGCAATCTTGGAAAAAGTTTCAAGTCAATTGACGCAAATCCAACTAATAACCAACTATACTCTACCAGGGAAATTTTTTAAAACTGGTATCTGCCTTAATCATCATGAACAAATTCATATCCCCCACAAAACAATAATAAAGGATGCCACTAGATTTATCAAATGTGCTTGGAAACAATCTCCTGAAAAAAATTATGAAGGAAGTAAGTCCCAATTTGTTTGAATGGAATCAAATAGCATCAAACATACAAATTAAGATAAAAATACAAACAGCATGGGCAACATCCTTTAGAGATGTAGTAATAGTCTACAGAGATATCTGTACTAAATTTTATCCATTTCTTTTGGGTAAGAGAATATCAATAACTTGCTGAAATAGGTCATGCTGAAGCTATTTATTTGCATGCTTATCTTTTCATTTTTAGCCTTTCTTATATTCGGGTATTGATTTTTACATTTCCAGTAATAAATAAATGGACTACATAGACAACTGATTTTAAAGTTATTTCTATATCAGTAACAAGTTGTTTTTTGTCTAGTAAGATGTAATAATTTTCATTTTTTGTGATGGTACTTAAAGCTCCCTCACAGAAACTTCAATACTTTGATTTTACAAAAATAGTTTAAAAATAAAATAATGGAAAAATGCACAACTGGAAGAAAACTAATCTAGCTGAATAGACTTACCCTTTCTTCTGTTTGGCATTCAAAAAGTCACTATGCTGATCCAAGAACACCTCTATTTAGAAAATCTATAAGGCATCCTTTTCTAGCCTTGCTTCATAGAAAATAAATCTCTTTATGCAGCACATTACTTTTGTTCCCCCTAAACTTCAGTTTACATGTCTGTTAAAATTAGAAGTACAAAAGTCACAAAGTTTTGTAATTTGACACTAACACATAAATTGAGGCATAATGAGGAAATAACTAAAACACAAGAAAATTAAAAGATATAATAAAGCCATTTTTGTTTTGATGTCTTCAAATAATAGCTTTATTTAAAATTTAGATATTTATACCAAAATAATATAACTAACAGAATCAATTTTCAATCACATCCAGCAAATAAAATGTTACAGTTCATTACAAGTATGAAGAAGAGGTTATCAAGGTGGTTGTTTAATTTTTATTTCTTCACAAAGTCAGAAGCACAAGCCAAAGATAAAAAGAGCATGGATCTAGAATTTGATTATGGAGGCCAAGCAGTCGAAGACAGAACCAGAGAAGTTAAGTGACTTTCCCACAGGTATAATAACAAGGTCCCATGGGTAAAATAACAAATGTAGAGAAAGAGAAGTCTTAGGCCATATAATTCCTTGAGGGATAATAAGCAGGGAAGAGCTGCAACTGAATCAAGATGGGAAAATTAAATAACTTTACAATGCCTCTTGAGTGCAGACTTCATAATTTTAAAGCATCTTGCAACTCCAAGATTTTCACAAACATAGGTTTAGACAGAAATACAAAACACTTGGCTCTTAGATTATAAAATATTTGGCTTCAACCATTTGGGACCCCTTTTAGTAGTGCAAATGGATAAAGGAATTTTTAAAAAATATATTTACTAAGGAATTACCATTAAACACTCAAGACAGAAATACAAAAAGCAAGACAGTTCCTGTCCTCAAGGAGCTTGCATTACAAATACAAAACAGCTAACTGTGCTTAGCATATACTGAACCACTTTTAAATTGTTACAGTGATAATTTTTTTTAAAAATTTAGTATTACATGCAGGAAAAATTTTTAATCAGCATATTATTCCTACAAGGTATTATAAAAATATGATTTAAATTTTTCTAATATTTTGTATTAATTTTTCATGGAACGTAGATATTTTTGTCACTTTAAAAAAAATAAAGTTCATGTTCAGGAGAGTAAGGAAAATTCCTTAAAGTAGTGTCAACTAAGGAAAAATGGTTTACTGATGATGAAAATGAGTTTTTTACTTGATACTCCTTTGTAAGTAGGGATTATTTCATTCATTGTTTTTGTATCCCTAATTCCTAGCACAGTCCCTGAAACATAACAGGCATTTAATAAAAACCTATTAATTGACTGATAAGACATTTAATCAAACGTCTGCCAAAAGAAATTAAGTACAACATATTTTATAAATTTGCCATTTCTATTGGCAAATTCTCCAGAGTAACAACTTGAGAAATTTTTGTTTCAAAAAATACTCAACTATTCAAATAATAGTAAATAAACGAAAGATGGAAAAACAATCAGACCAGACCAAGTATTCACAGAGGTCTGTGCCAAAAGAGACACAATTCTGAGAACACTGAGGTACTGACTCTCAAATTATCTGAAGGAAGTAAGAATCTCAAAGGTGTAAAAAGAAAAAAAAATCCCTGGACTTTATTTTTTTTAAAAAAGGTTGACTGAGAGAACATCAATAAATACCTATCCATATGCCTACTTTCCTGTCAACATTTTTATGAGAATGATCTACTCATACCTAGAGAATCCTTGCTGAAGGTGTTAGAAGGGGACAAACACTTAAAAGGCAACATTTCACAGGAGAATACATCTTTATCATCACATAATTGATGGGAAACCTTGAGTATACAATAAGATCCCATTGTGCTTGTTTGTGGACTATAAAAACTCATTAGACCTAGTAAAATAAAATACCACCTTAAAGACTCTTACAACACGATTTTTACACATATAAAAATTACATGAGATTCCCTAAAATATATAA